GACCCTTTCAGGCCATCAGTGGTCTCACCGGCAGCATTTACAGCAAGAAACGATGCGCAGACGCTTGCTGAAACGAACAATTGCGGCTTGAACTTGATAGCAGCGTTCTCAGAGATCGTGACCGGCTCGGGTTGAGGAAAGGGTTCGATTTTACCATGATCGACGGTCGCAGTACCACAAGTAACCACTGTAGCGAAAAGTGTCGCGATGATAATTTGTAGATTCATCTCGACCTGGCGGATCCGAGAATGAGCTCGAGCAACTTGCGCCAATTACAAGAAAGCTGTTCGAAACAAAAACGTAAACATATTTACATATGCAAGCAAGAAGATACAGCTTGAGATCGGGTTTTCGCATGAATATAATTTAATGTTTTAATAAGTGGAATAAAACCCTATTTTAGACTAGGAGGACAGCTACCTGTAATATATGTTATATGCTGTGTACGTTAAAAAGATGAATCACCATACGCCAGATTGCAGAGGCGAGAGTTTCCACGTGCTACTACATCGACAAAAACCGAAGCCGTGAAGCTTGTATAGGTAGTTCCTTTTTTGTTGTTTAGTGTTTGAACTTTAAGATAACTATGGAAAATCCGAATCCTGCTTGTTGCTTGATGATCATCTTACATGACGTGTATTCTTTAACAGAAGGATACACATCATCATAATCACAGGTTGCGTAAGGGAATTGCTCTGTAAGAGCACCTCCATCAGCCCATTGGAATTAGTTTTCAGGACTGAAAACTACTACTATTCAGCCTTTAAAACAAAAAATAATAGTATTGAAGTACATGTAGTATGGGAGAATTAACAGCTCTGTACACTGTCAGCATTAACCACCGATCGGTGGTTAATAATCACGCAAGGCTGATAATTATACATGAATCTCTGAAATTTATTTCGAATCTAATGTCCTATTGGTGCTTCATTTTACGTGAAAAAATTGACTGGGCATTTATATTTTTAATAAACATAATAGATACAAATATCCAGTTATACAATAAGGGTTCTTACTTACCATAGTTCACAATAGATATTTAGCCAATCATGAGGATATTTACGTGCTAGTTGCGGGTGAATCACCAATCAAATCCATTTTGCAGTGACCTTCCCATTACGTACCTTGCGAGATGATAGCGATTTTTCATTCTACAAGAATGACTATTCGACCAATAAAGTGGCTCCGTTTAGATGAGAATGATTCTACAAATACTACGTGAGAACACTTATTAAAAGATGGCCCTAAATATCGATTCCTAAGTTAGGTGAACAA